TCACTTGTTTGGCAAATGAAGAAAATTGAAGTAATTGTATTTACTGCACATATTTTTGATGTTCTAATGTATCAACTGACTGACATATTTAAAATATTTAATTTTTTTAAAGATTATTTATTTATTTATTTGACAGACAGAGATCACAAGTAGGCAGAGAGGCAGGCGGAGAGAGAGGAGGAAGCAGACTCCCTGCCTAGCAGAGAGCCCGATTTGAGGCTCGATCCCAGGACCCTGAGATTATGACCTGAGCCGAAGGCAGAGGCTTTAACCCACTGAGCCACCCAGGCGCCCCTAAAATATTTAATATTTAAAAGAAAAATACTTTTAAGCATTTTGTATTTGTATAATCTACTGTGTTTAATTTTTTTTTCAGTTTCTTCTCAGCAATATATATCTCTTCAAAGTAAATAGGTTACTGTAAGAGTACAGGTTACTGTTAGTCTAATCTCTGTCATTCCACTTGTCCTTCTGTGAAACCTAAAGGTAAAGGACATTTAAAAACTTGCATGTGCCCTACCTAAAAGTGGGTCAAGTGAGGCTCAAAATTACATCATTGGGGCACCTGGGTGGCTCAGTCACTCACTTAAGCACCAGACTCTTGGTTTCGGCTCAATTTATGATCTCAGGGTCATGGGGTCAGCCTTTGTAGGGCTCCAAGCTCAGTGCAGAGTCTGCTTGTCTCCCCCTGCCTCCCACATGCTCGCAGTCTCTCTCTCAAATAAATAAATGGGATCTTTGAAACAAACAGATTTTTTAAAATTACATCATTACTTATACTCAATTATTATTATTTTTTAAAGATTTTATTTATTTATTTGACAGAGATCACAAGTAGGCAGAGAAGCAGGCAGAGAGAGAGAGAAGGAAGCAGGCTCCCTGCTGAGCAGAGAGTCCAGTGCAGGGCTCGATCCCAGGACCCTGGGATCATGACCTGAGCTGAAGGCAGAGGCTTAACCCACTGAGCCACCCAGGCGCCCCTATTCAATTATTTTAAAATATTCTAGTTAATTCCAGCCTCCTAGCATGGTTCCTGGTTATGCTGACTAGCTCCATCATTTGACTAGCTTTCTTTTTTTTTTTTTTGTAAAGTAGTGGGTTTGATGTGGGGCTTGAACTCACAACCCTGAGATCCAGAGTCGCATGCTCTACTTACTGAGCCAGCCATGCACCCTTGGCTGGCAAATTTCTAGTATTGAAGCTCAAAGTTTTGGATTTAGAAAGGCTGCATTTGGCCTTTCGATGTTCTTTTGAAATCTCAGGAATTTTAAGATTTTTTTTTTTAAGATTTTATTTATTTATTTGACAGAGACACAGCGCGAGAGGGAACACAAGCAGGGGGAGTGGGAGAGGGGGAAGCAGGCTTCCCACCGAGCAGGGAGCCTGATGGGGGCTTAATCCCAGGACCCTGGGATCATGACCTGAGCCGAAGTCAGAGGCTTCAACCCACTGAGCCACCCAGGTGCCCCGGAGTTGTAAGATTCTGAAACAGTTTTTGGAGCAAAGTTAATTTAAAATAATTTTTAAATTATAACATTGTGCACTTTTTATTAGAGTAGAGACAAAGTAAGATTAAGTAGGATATCCTGAGCTGACTCCCGAATGAGTTTGAACCGTAATTTTTTTTTTTAAGATTTCATTTATTTATTGGACAGAGAAAGACACAGAGGGCGAACACAAGCAGGGGGAGTGAGAGAGAGAGAAGCAGGCTTCCCGCTGAGCAGGGAGCCTGATACAGGGCTCGATCCCAGGGCCCCGGAATCATGACCCGAGCTGAAGGCAGCTGCTTAAGAGCTGAGCCACCCGAGCGCCCCTGAACCGTAATTTTTGTGATAGTTTTATAGTGGCCATAATTTCCACAATTTTGTCTGCTCAAGGTGTGGCTGTCAAGACCTAAAAAGCATCCTTTTTTTCCTTCTTTTTATAATTTATGGTAAATATTTTCTTAGGTTTAACGTGTAGCCCTAAAGAACCAGAAACCCAAAGGAACCAATACTCCTCCACAGAGTCCCACCTGTAGTGAGGCTGTTTCTGGAATCGGTGTGATGACCAAGGTTTTGGGCATGGCTGCAGTTCGGGGCCCTCGGCCTCCACGGGAGAGGGGGCCTCTGGTGGTTAAAGATGAGGACGAAGAGGAAAGGCAGAGCCTTCCTAGCCTGGAGGTGTTCCGCCAGCGCTTCCGGCAGTTTGGCTACCATGACACACCTGGCCCCCGGGAGGCCCTGAGCCAGCTCCGGGTGCTGTGCTGCGAGTGGCTGAGGCCCGAGATCCACACCAAGGAGCAGATCCTGGAGCTGCTGGTGCTGGAGCAGTTCCTGACCATCCTGCCCCAGGAGCTCCAGGCCTGGGTGCAGGAGCACTGCCCGGAGAGCGCCGAAGAGGCCGTCACTCTCCTAGAGGATCTGGAGCAGGAACTGGACGAGCCAGCACAGCAGGTAGACTGGGGAGACCTCACATGCTGGGAGGCTGGGAATGGAGCGCTCTGGGCAGGACTGGGTTTCTCTCTCCAGTGGGAGGAGCTGAGTAGAAGTTTCTGCTGACTTAGATCCCGTTTCCTCCTCCTTCCCTTCTCCCGTACAGTATTAATCTTTAACTGTGGACGTGTTTGCTTTCTTTTTCCAAGCGGTTGTACTTTAGCTCTCCTGGGGCTTGCTTTCATTCTGCAGTGGACCCGTGAACAACACAGGGGTTAGGGTTGTTAACCTCTCCCCACCCTCCAGCACACGTTCATTTGAAAATCCCGGTTTAACTTTTGATTCCCCCAAAGCTTAACTTCTAAATGGCCTCCTGTTGACTGGAAGCTTGACCGATAACATACATAGCCAATTAGCACTTATTTTGTACGTTATGTGTGCTATATGCCATGTTCTTATCATAAAGTACGCTAGAGAAAGGAAAACATTAAGAAAACCGTAAGAAGAGTAAATACATTTACTGTACTGTATGTATCCCAAAAAAAATACACGTATAAGTGGGCCTGTGTAGTGCAGACTCGTGTTCAGGGATCACCTGTAGTTCTGAGATGAGCTGTGCACAAACCCCACCGTTCCTGCTTGTCTCCAGGTCTCACCTCCAAACGAACAGCAACAGGTGTGGGAGAAGAGGTCCTCCTCAGGAACAGCAACGTTTCCAAGCAGCACACAGCCCCAGTCTGCGGAGACCAGTCACAAAAGCGAGGGTTGGGAGCCCTTGTACATCCAGGAGACTGGGGAAGAGGAGGATCTCACTCCAGAGCTGAGAAAGAGTCAAGGTAGGGACTGTCCGTCATGCTGTGTGCTTGGTGCCCCACGCCTTTGTGGTGGAAGAAACAGAATAATTCTAATTACTGGTTGTGAGGCAGTGCCCCTAGACTGACTTGCCTGGTCTGGGTGCCCAGGCAGGACGAGTGCCTGAGTGCCCTTCCTCCCAAGTGCATCTCACGCATAGAGTCAGCGTGGGGACAGGACGTCCTCTTAAAAGGGTTGGTCAGAGTGATGGCTCAGTCAATTTAAGTGTCTGCCTTCTGATCGGGTCATGATCCCAGGGTCCTGGGATCAGGTCCCACATCAGGCTCCTTGCTCGGTGGGGAGACTGCTTCTCCTTCTGTCTGCCGCTCCCCTTGCTTGTGCTCTCTCTGTGTCAAAGAAAAGCTGTAAAAAAAGTTGGGGGGCACTGTTCACAGAGGTGTAACGGGTTGAAGGAACAGTGATAGATGATGCTTGTTCATTTGTTAATGACTGAACGAAGAAGCTGTTAAAATCAGCATGGGATTGTGCAGAAATGGTCCCAGGTAAATTCTTTTCAGCTTCTGCCTGGTAAGGTTATTTAAAATATTTTGCTTATTTATTGAGCTACTTATTTCCCACACGTAGTACACGGCAGCTTGAAGGAAAGTCTGTACATGTAGCCAGGTGACTGCTCATCACCCAGAGCGAAAGGGACACGTATCTGTCGCTGCCGGTGGCCAGGACAAAGAGATGGTAGAGTGGAGAGAGAGCTCCAGGGACCAGGGAAGGGGCGAAGAGGAAAGTACTGTGTTGACAGAGACTTCTGTACTCCTGGGGGGCCAGCAGGTCTCAGGGGGGCCCCTGGTTCAGTGTGGATTTCCCTTACTCCCCTTTTCCGTGTGTGTGCACCTGAAAGTGTGGCGGCCTCATGTAGTGCTCTGAAAAAGATGGTTGGCTTCAGTCTGGTTTTAGCAGTATTAACTTGAGAACCGAAAGAAGCATGAGACACAGCCGCTGTAGGGTACATGCTGGGAATCAGACCCTCCTGGGAGGTGAGCACTTTGATGTAAAGACGATCTGGGACTAGCCTGGTCTACACGGACTGAATGTCCTCTTTTGTTGCTTTTATATTCCACTTCTGTGAGCACGTGGATCTCATGAGTTTGCCACTGGCCTCATCTCCCTTAATTACCGTTTATTTTCCTTAATCAACTTGGACCATTCGGCAATGTTTCTTACTTAATTGTTTGTGCCTGGCCATCACCCAGCTCCTTTGCTCCTGTCCCAGGAGGCTTGGTGTGGCCCTCCTACCCTCTTTATGTGAAGCTCTTCTCCTGGCAGAGAAAGCTGTGTGCTTGTCATACCGTCATAGCTGCTGCTGGGCTGGGGGCTGGTGTGAAAGCCTCGGACTGCAAGCTAGGTCTGGTGGTGACTTGTGTCAGTGTCATGTTGTGACCTGCCACCAAGCAGTACTTGCTCCCAGCGTCAGCTGACGTTTCTGTTTCTCCTTCAAGTTCCTTCTCAGAATATAAAACAACTGACCTGCTCTTACTCTGCTTCTTGTTTCAGATCGTAACTCGAACACCCAGAATGAGGACTCCATAGATCAGCAGAAAAGTTCTGAAGAGTCTCAGGAACTCAAAAGGGAGGTTACTCCCATGGTCGTTGCCAGTAAATGTGAGGCCAGGTTAGAAAGGCAGTGGGCAAACCTTGAAAAGGAAAGAGGAACAAAAACTCCTCTTCTAGACAAAGGTTCCAAGAAAGGCAGAGAATTGATTCCCACTAAACCTGCCCCAGGAGAGAGGCGTTACATCTGTGCCGAGTGCGGAAAAGCCTTTAGTAATAGCTCAAATCTTACCAAGCACCGGAGAACGCACACTGGGGAAAAGCCATATGTGTGCACCAAATGTGGGAAAGCTTTCAGCCACAGCTCAAACCTCACCCTCCATTACAGAACACACTTGGTGGACCGGCCCTATGACTGTAAGTGTGGGAAAGCCTTTGGTCAGAGCTCAGACCTCCTTAAACATCAGCGAATGCACACGGAAGAGGCGCCTTATCAGTGTAAAGATTGCGGAAAAGCTTTCAGTGGGAAAGGCAGCCTCATCCGACACTATCGGATCCACACTGGGGAGAAACCTTACCAGTGTAACGAGTGTGGAAAGAGCTTTAGTCAGCACGCAGGTCTCAGTTCTCACCAGAGGCTCCACACCGGAGAGAAGCCGTACAAATGTAAGGAGTGTGGGAAAGCCTTCAACCACAGCTCAAATTTTAATAAACACCATAGAATCCATACCGGGGAGAAGCCCTACTGGTGTAATCACTGTGGAAAAACCTTCTGTAGTAAGTCCAATCTTTCCAAACATCAGCGAGTCCACACCGGAGAGGGAGAAGGGCTTTAACTGTCAAGTAATGCTCTCTCGGTGGCATTTGTTTTTATTAAACTTTAGCCCTTGGATGCTAGGGAGAAGCCCAGTAATTGTGATATAAACTCTAGTCGTAGATTTTGTTTCACTCGACATCAAGGGGTGCCAGAGGAGAGGGTGCTCAGTGGTGGCACCGTGGGAAGGAGGTGCTGGTGGGCAGCGGAGTGCGGTCTTCTCACACGCTTTGGGTCCCATCAGCCAGGCCGGCACTGCTTCTTATATAGTTAAAACTGAGTATATCCCGTATAATTAAGGAAGAAACACTGAAACCGTTTAATCGTTTTAACATATATTCAAGAAATAGGATTTGTAAAGAATTGAGCCACATGGAACGCAATTTAATCTGATTCGGAATAAACTTATAACATCTTGTAAACGTGCCTCCAGACTGTTATATGGTGTGTTGGTTACTGAACACTGTTCTCAAGAGGAAACTATTCCTACTGGTTTTAGCTTCGGGAAATTTGGATTTGGAGTAATTAGAACTTTTCGTGCTCATGAAGGTACGGATCATGAAATTGGGGTAGAGCAGCTGCATCTTGGTCTACGTTGTGCTTTATTTTATTTTATTTTTTTCTGTATGCTGAACACATTGTTTTCATCAGGGAGGACATTTGTCAGCCTCGTGTGCGTTTTGATTGTATATGCCTCTGCCACAGTCTGAAAATCGACTATGAAGTTTCCTTCTAAACCCCACACCTCAGTAAGATCCAGCATGATTCCTTTAAGTCCATCCTGTCTGTCCCCTGCCTGGAGTCAGGTGAGATCTTTGCGTGGTCTCCAAGAAGAGTCTAATCTCCTACAGCAAGGGGGGGGGGGAGATGCATTTGTTGGGCCAGAGGGTTCTGGAGAATTTGGGGCTTGAGGTACTCGAGCACACCTCCCCAGATGTCCCATGCATCAGGATCCCAGTCTCTCCCAGTCGGGGCCCAGAGTTTGGGGATAAATGACCTGACAAGACTTGGCATTTAGCTGTCTCTGCAGTTTTGCCACCCTCGCAGTCGGCCGTGAGCTGGTGTTCAGGCCCGTCTGCTCTTGCTACAGAAGATGGGGATCTCTGTAATCCCTCCTGTGGGTGACTAGGGCTTTCACAACATGCCCTGAAATGATAGTTGGCCGAACTAAGCCTATAATTTTCTTTCTTCAAAGCTTGAGAGAGAAACGAGTCCTCGTAATTGCCACTATGCCAGTAATGTTTCAAGTTCTAGGACTACTACAGAAGCTAATGCTTCCTCTTCTACCTGAATCTCATCCCCTGCCGTAGCTGGTGGGAACCTTCCCAATGCCCATGGTAGAGCGTGCCAGGAGCCATCACTACTGTGCTCGTTACAGGCTCCTCTTACTAACTATCTGACCAGTGAGTGACCTGTTGCCGGAATCCCATCCTGAGGGCGCCGTTTCTAGGGCCACTTCCAATACCGACTGTTAACAGGTTGGATTTCCCCTAAAACAGCCCGTGACAAGGGCTTAAGGGCAGATCGTTTACTTAGGGAGATGATTCCAGGAAGCCAGGTGTGAAGGAGCAGGAAAGGAGGGGAGGACGAAACCAAGAGTGGGTGCACTGTTGAGCTGGTGGCTTCTGTAGGCAACTAGTACTTGAATCTGGGGACCTTTATAGAACAACACAACAAATGGGAGCAACTGGTATACCTGAGCTCTGATCCCATCCCAGTGCCCAGCTGTGGTTAGGAGGCAGCGCCTCCTTGGCTCCGGGAGAGTGGCTGAGAACCCCTGGTAGATGGGAAGAAACTGTCCCCAGGGGCTTTGAGGCTGTCGGTCTGAAGGTACTGTGAGCCACGCTCCCCCATATCCCCCAAATATGCATTTTTACACACACGCAGGCAAATGCACAAGACTTACATTTGGATTTTACATAATATTGGGGTCATACTTACACTAAAAAAATGATGCAGTGTTTATCTGAAATTCAAATTTTTCACTGGGCATCGCGTATCTTGCAGTCCCGCCCCTGGCACCTGGGGGCAGGAGTGCTTCCAACCGTTTGTCTCCCCAAATGTGGTAAAATCTGATGAACTGAGGGGACTCACTTACACCCGTAAAATGTATATTTGTGGATGAGGTGGCAGCTTTGTGCATCCCAGGAAATACACTGTGACTATAAATTCTAGAATAGCCCCTTAGTGCTAGCCTGGAAATCAGGGCAGTAGCCCTTTCCTTGCAGACCACCTCCAGAATTCTCTCTGGTGGAGATTGCCTGCTGCTAGGAGACAGAAGTGTCCGATCCAGCTTGAGATGGGAAATAACACATAGCTGTTTGCACATTTCTATGTAATGGCTTAATTTCACCCCGTCCAGTCTGTCTACCATGACTTACATATAGTCCAAGTATACGATTCAAAAATATGATTCTAGATGAATAAATCAATTTTCACTCTTATTACTACATTTGTAGTAATATCAGAGCTAATATATGTTCACATTTCACCTTTTCCAACCTTTTAAATTGTAAAATACACAACAAAATGTACCATGTTACACACCTTAAAAATATATAACTTATTAAAGACACGTAGCTTTAAATTTATTCCAAGCTAATAGAAAAGATCTCATTTTAGGGGTACCTGGGTGGTTCAGTCGGTTGGGTGTCTGCCTTCAGGTCAAGTCATGATCCCAGGGTCCTGGGATCGAACCCCCACATTGGGTTCCCTGCTTAGCATGGAGTCTGCTTCTCCCTCTCCCTCTTCTCTTCACCCCCCTCCCACCCCGCTCGTATTCTCTCACTCTCTCAAATAAATGAAATCTTTAAAAAAAGAAAACATCTCGGGGCACCTGGGTGGCTCAGTGGGTTAAGCCTCTGCCTTCGGCTCAGATCATGATCTCAGGGTCCTGGGATCGAGCCCCAAATTGGGCTCTCAGCTCAGTGGGGAGCCTGCTTCCCCCTCTCTCTCTACCTGCCTGCCTCTCTGACTACTTGTGATCTCTCTCTGTCAAATAAATATTTTTTTGAAAGATTTTATTTATTTAAGAGAAGGAGAGCTAGGGTAGCAGGGAGAACAGAGGGAGAAAGACAAGCAGGCTCTACCCTCAGCACGAAACTCAACGCAGGGCTCAGTCCCACGACTTGAGAGCAAATCAGGGGTTTGGATGCTCAACCCACTGAGCCACCCAGGCGCCCCTGGAAATAAAATTTTTAAAAAGGGGCAGCATTAAAGACAGTAAAGGGAAAAAAAGACTAAAAGGTTTTACACTTTATTCAGTAATCGTATCATTTGTATGAATACTGTATTGTTATTTTGAGAACTATTTATTTGAAATGTCAGAAAAAATAAACCATTATATTTATTTAGTTTGAAATGAAGGGGGCACCTGGCTGGCTTAGTCAGTAGAGCATGTGACTCGATCTCAGGGTCTTGATTCTGAGCCCCATGTTGGGGGTAGAGATTTACTTTTAAGAAGTTTTTTTGGGGGGAACACCTGACTCGATTAAGTGTTTGATTTTAGCTCAGGTGATGATCCTGGTGTCCCAGGATCAAGCCCCATGTCGGGCTCCCTGTAAAGCAGGGAACCTGCTTACCCTCTCTCCCTGCTCCTTCTCTTACTCTTTCTCTCTCAAATAAATAAATAAAATCTTTTAAAAGTTTTTAAGCTATTTTTTTAAATGAAGGTTTACCCATAGAAGATAAAGGAGTATAGTTGTAAAAAAGAATTTAAAAATGGATTGGCAGTATCAATATTAACTCATTTCTTTACAGTAAGATACTGTAAAAGAGCAGTTTTATTTCTGTCCAAGAGCAGTTGCCCAGAATTAACATGAACCCCAATATGTATATATTCCCCCCCCCACCCCTACTATGTGGCACCAGTGTTCCTCAGAGAAATAGCTAATTTTATATTTAGGGGGGAAAAAAAAGTTAACCTGGGGATTTTGTTGTGCCAAAAGGCTTTCAAATTAATTAATTAATTAATTTATTTATTTATTATTTATTTTTTATTATTTATTTCAAAATTATTATTATATTGAAATGACACTGGGATCAATCTGAAATGAGCTCATATTGGGACACATTGGTGGCTCAGTCAGCTAAGCATTTGGCTTTGGTTCTGGTCATGACCGCAGGGTCCTGGGATCGAGTCCTCCCTCGGGCTCCTTGCTCAACTGGGAGTCCCCCTCTAACTCTGCCTGCTGCTCCCCCTGCTTGTGCTCTCTCTCTGCGCTGAGGTTGACTGTCATATATGTAGTCTAAGAAGCCAGATCTGGGGGTGGGAAACTGGACTATCTTCATCAGGAGGGAAGATGGCTGTGAAGGAGGGCACTCTGGCCAAGGGAGCAATTTTAAAGGTGTACAGATAGAAAATATAAGGCTCTGGCAATTGATTCTCTCAAAACTAGCTGTCTACACAGACACTCTGAGAATATTTGTGTTCTCGATCCCCCAACCCTACCTGCCAATTTGGTCATATCCTTGTTGAAGACGGCTATATTCTGACACAAGACCCCAGTGAGGACACCAGTGGCCTCCCTTCTATTGACTTTTCGTAGGCTTACTTTTTTACTCTTATTTTTTTCCTTTTTCCTTTTTCCTTTTTTTTTTTTTTTTTTTTTTTTTTTTTAAGATAAAAGCTTTACAGGGGCGCCTGGGTGGCTCAGTGGGTTAAGCCGCTGCCTTCGGCTCAGGTCATGATCTCAGGGTCCTGGGATCGAGTCCCGCATCGGGCTCTCTGCTCAGCCGGGGGCCTGCTTCCCTCTCTCTCTCTCTCTGCCTGCCTCTCTGTCTACTTGTGATCTCTCTCTGTCAAATAAATAAATAAAATCTTTAAAAAAAAAAAAAAAAAAAAAAAAGATAAAAGCTTTACAGAAGTTCAAACACTCCCTTTCCCACCTTGGTGGATTGCCTTGAGCCTCCCCTAGGTGACTTACGACACTCTGAAGAATAAGGCCATTCAGAGCATGGCCTTCGAGAACTTGCTGGGAATTACCCGGCTGGCTGGGCTCTGGAGCAAACAGCAACCATGAGCTACAAATTGACTTCTCAGCCCCAGAGTGAGAGAGTTGATAGCACGGAACGAGCTAGGAGTCAGAGCTGTTCCTTTTGGATTGTCATTAGGGGACCTTTTACAGAACAAACAATCCCACTTTGAGGAGACCATTTCCACCCTGTTCTCCTTGCCACTCCACTGCCTCCTTCCTCATCTCTGTTCTTGTCCTGGAGGTAGAAGTGGAAGAAAAAGGAATTGAGGAGAGTTTAAAAACAAATACAAAAACCAGGGTGGGGTGGGGGGGAGGGGGAGAGAGAGAGAGAGAGAGAGAGAGAGAGTGTGTGTGTGTGTGTGTGTGAGTGTGTGGTGTTTTGGTGGGGTGGAGTTGGGTATGGAGTTTACTGAGTGGCTTGACTATGCCAAGCATTTGCTCAAATTCTCACTATGGCTTGGGAGGACTGCAGGCCCCCACCCATCTCAGGCCACCCCTCAAGTGTTACTAGTGATTGTGCATTGCTCTGTACTGCCTCCAGGCCTTTGTCCTGGCTATACCTTCTGCCTGTAAGTCCCCTTCCCACCCCCGGCCTGCAGTACCTCTGGAAAGTCTCCTTTCCTAGCAGTTTCCATATTTTGCCAGAATTGATCACTTAAATTACTGTGCTTAGACTGCCCTCCCGGGAGAGTGAGGGCTGCTGCATTCGCACAGGGGACTGTGGGCGCCATAAATACGGGATACAGTGCAAACTGGGAATAAATGGGAGGCAGGGCCAGAAGGGGCGCCAGGAGCGCCCTCGTTAGTCAGAATATCACAAGATTTCATTCTGTACGTGACCTGGAAGGATTTGATTCGGACATTTACGGGATTACTCCTGTGAGGGCATAAAAGTGAGCAAACCTGGGTGGTTTAGTGGGTTAAAGCCTCTGCCTTTGGCTCAAGTCATGATCCCAGGACTCTGGGATCGAGCAGCATCGGGCTCTCTGCTTGGCAGGGAGCCTGCTTCCCCCTCTGTCTGCCTGCGTCTCTGCCTACCTGTAATCTCTGTCAAATAAAATAAATTTCTTTTAAAATCTTAAAAAAAAAAAAAAAAGTGAGCAAACCACGAACCACGAAGCCTTCCCCTCCCGCCCCCAAGCATTTCACACATTTAGCTCCTGGGGGGGACCTCTTGCCAGTTTCCCCGAGTTTTCTCTCTCATCGCTTGTACAGGTTTTGCCCTCACGGGAACTCTCTGATGGGCTGGAACATTCTCTTCGGATTTTAAAGGGGACATTTTTACATGAAACAAACACAAAACTCGGTTTATTTGGACATTTCAAATAAAGGTGAATTTTTTTCCAGTAATGAAAACTTCGGAAGTCTTCCTGTTTGCTGCGGGTCGGCTCGGCACCCCAGACGCTCTGGCAAGGTGGGTTCTCCTCCGCCCTCGCAGACACGCGGGATACCCACGCCGCCCCTGCCGCCTCGGGTCTGCGGCGCCCGAACTTGCGCCCTGAGGCCGAGGGGCGCGGCGCTTCGCCCCGCCCGGCCATCAGGGGGCGCGGCGGCGGGCGGGAGCTCCAGGGCGGGCGTTGGCGTCAGCGCGGGAGCCGCGCGGCCTAGGCCGGGAGTTAGCGAATCACCGAGAGGCGAACTCCTCCAGAGTTCCTAGAGAGAACAAGTGGGCGTGGGGGCTGCGGGGATGGGATGGGTAGTGAAAAGGTCCGACCCGGAAGCGAAATAGAGAGAACTTCCGTTCTTTGTTCTGTCCCGGTGTGTGGGTCTGTGACAGGGTCCAACGGGGCCTGGTCTGTGTCCGGCCCCCCAAATCTCCCGTCCCTGCCCCCAGGGTGAGTCCGGCGGCCCCCGGGGCTCGCGGTGAGACGGAGGCTGTGGCCGCCAGGGAAAGGGGTGGTGTCCGCGCCGCGCCCGCGGGGTCCCCAAGCCCGCCCTTAGCAGGGTGCCGGGAGGCGCCGCTCCCTCCCCCGCAGCCGGTCCCCGACTCCGCTTCACCGGGGACCTCCCTCCGCCAAACGGGACCCTGCCAGGAGGGGAGGAAAGGGGCTCCGGTTCTGGGCTTGTGACAGCCCAGCTCGAGCCCATAAAAGTTCCAGTATGGCTGCAAACGGGCCCCTCTCTTTAGAACAGCTGATGACAGCTCCCCTAACTTGGTAATTCTCCCAGACGCTTTTCTTTGGTGTTAACACAGTTATTCGGGCCAGTGGCAGGAGAAGTCTCTACTTCGCCGGCTCTGAGATCTGAGTAGGAGGAGTTCCACGAAGTGTTCGCAGTTAGAACTAGGTCTGGAATGCGGGGGTGGAGGGGGGGAGGTGGCTGTGCAAACTTAGATCCCGGGAATAATCCCGCTGGCGCTCAGTAAATCGAGTTCCTTACGGGGAATGATATAGCCGTGTCTGGCTCCCGCTTTCAATTGTGTTAGATCCCTGACGTGGGATTGAACGCAGATGGATGTTTCCGCTCTGAATGGCATTCGTAAGCCCCAGGCGAGGCTAGGCAGGGTGATGAACCCGAAATATATGGAATAATGAGAGGAGCTAAAGGTACTTATCCCCAAGAAGAGAATCGTATGGACAGTGGGCATCATGTGGTTTACAGGCGTTTGAGGAACGGTTGTGTGGGAGGAGAAAATTCCACTCTTGAAGCTTCTGACGGCAGGGTGCGGGGCCTCTGCAAGGTGGAGGGGATAGATTTTCACTTTACCAACCCAAAACCTTTCTGGTGGTGAAGCTTTACATCAACAGACCAGACTCTGTCCTGAAGTTGAGAGTTTCTCGCAAGTTAGGTGTCAGAACATTGAGAACGTGAGAAGGCATTTCTTTCACTTGGTTGAGATTAACCTGGAGAACCTTCAGTGGCCTTTGAGCTCTCCAGGGGTGCAACCCAGACAACCAGTTGTGTCTTAATTTTGTTGATTCATGGATGTTCTCTTCTTTTTCTTGTATTTGAGTAGAAATGAAGTTTACATGAATATTTTTAATTCCTTTCCCCCCCCCTTAATCACACAGCACTGGCATTAACTTAACTTAGAATTCCCAGGAACTTGCACAGAGGCTTCCAAATCCCCGATAATTGCTACTCTGGTCTTCTAGGACCTAACTCCAAAGAAGGAAGGAAAGATTCCAGCAGGTAAAGCTTTTCATGACTTGTTCTTACTGCCAGGTCATCTTTGTGAGTCCCCAGGAGCAGCTTTAGGGAGAGGCGTTGGCAGCGGGGCAGGGTAGGGCACTGCCTGGACCTGAAGCTGTGGGGGCACAATGGAGATTTTTCTGTGAGAAACATTGTGTGCTGATGCAGACACTGGGGACTTGTTCTTAACAATATGCCTTTGAGTTCCAGCTTTGGGTAACCCAGCTGTGAGGAGGGAGGCTTGCCTTTTCCCTCTGGACTCAGAGCCTCTGAGTTTCCTTTCTAAAGAGAGTTTGGATTAAGAGCTGATTTGTTGGAGGGGTCTGCTTATAAACAGTCCTGGAAATCGTAAAGTTGGTTGATAGGAACAAAAGATGGCTGGCTCTGAGGCAGAGTGGAAGGGACCCCGGGAGGAGGGCGCTCGTGGCACCTTGATTGCCCCTGGGCCTGGCTCACGCCTCATTCAGTGCCTTTCTCTGTGTAAAGGCATCGGTGGGCATTCTGTACCCCCTTGTTGCCCAAACACTAGAGGTCTGTGAACTCTTGACTCTCAGGGCCCCTCCCCTTTTTATGCTTGTATGTGAATGCAACTGTCTGTAATGATAAAGCAGATATGGTTCACGTTCCTTTCAATAGTGCCTTGCGATGTAGTGACACTCAACAGTGGTTTGTTACATGAGCAAATAAATAAAGAGGGAGGTAGACAAAATCCAGGGCTTTATTTTCTTTTCTTTTGCCCAAGTGTAAGAAAGCTCTGGTGGAGACAAACCATAAGTGACTCTTAATCTCACAAAACAAACTGAGGGTTGCTGGGCAGAGGGGGGTTGGGGGGGGGTTATGGACATTGGGTAGGGTATGTGCTATGGTGAGTGCTGTGAAGTTTGTAAACGTGGAGATTCACAGACCTGTACCCCTGGGGGAAAAAAAAATATATATATATATATGTTTATAAAAAATAAAATTATAAAAAAAAATTGATATTGCCCCATGTATCAAATCATATAAAAAATTAAAGATCTTTTGAGTTCTAAACATTAAAAAAAAAAAAAAAGAAAGCTCTGGTGGCTGCTTTGTCTGTTCTTGGCCTGTTGATTCTTGTCACGGCATTTAAGTGTGGATTAGAATCTCCTACCTGAGATCCAAATCTTTGTTTAGATACTCACACATTCTGTTTTATTCAGTAGAGCCACAGAGAACAGACCTCTCTTGATTGTCATAGCATCTGGGGAATGGGGACATCAGCAGGGATAGAAATGGAGTAATAAGTAATTTTTTTTAAGATTTTATTTATTTGACAGAGAAAGAAATCACAAGTAGGCAGAGAGGCAGGCAGAGAGAGGCGGAAGCAGGCTCCCCGCTGAGCAGAGAGCGCAATGTGGGGCTCAATCCCAGGACCCTGGGATCATGACCTGAGACGAAGGCAGAGGCTTTAACCACTGAGCCAACCAGGCACCCCAATAAGTAATCTTATGTGTGTTTGTTTTTTTAAAGTGTTGGTCCCTGTGTCAGGGACTTATATTCCGATCCAAGGAAATGTATTAGAGAAAAGGGAGATAGAAGGCCCGCTGCTCCCGGCTCCCTGCGGTGGCACTGCAGTGAGGCCCACAGAGGGGCCCCATCCCCCAGTAACATCCTGCCTTTGACTAAGACTGGAAGCAGACAGCTGTCTTAGAAAGGGCAGAAAGCATTTCTCTAATATAATTAATAGAATGGAGCTATTTGCCTTAGTACTGGGTGTCAGCTCTTATATCTCCAGGGTTATTTATTTAAAGATTTTATTTATTTATTTGACAGAGATCACAAGTAGGCAGAGAGGCAGGCAAAGAATGGTGGGGGCGGAGGGGCGGGGAGGTGTGAAGCAGGCTCCTACTGAGCAGGGAGCCCAATGCAGGGCTGGATCCCAGGACCCTGGTATCATGACCTGAGCCTAAGGCAGAGGTCCAGTCCACTGAGCCATCCAGGCGCCCTCCCCAGAGTTTTTTAAATGAGAGACGGAGAGCTCATGGAAAGTTTCACTGATCTCTTTTTTTTATTTGGGTGCTGTTTTGTGACCCCTTTTCCTCAAAGTGTAGTACACCATCAGTGTAATACAATAGCTAATAACCTAATAAAGTAAATTTTTTCTTTTCTGTTGGCTCTACTGTTTATGAGGTGTTTTTTTTTTTTTTTTAATCTGTAAACAGAAGCACCTGGGTGTCTCAGTCGGTTAAGCCTCTGACTCGTGATCTCAGGTCTGATCTCAGGATCCTGAGTTCAAGCCCCATATTTACTTAAAAATAAATATATTTTTTTTAAAGATACTACTTATTTATTTGACACAGAGAGATCACAAGTAGGCAGAGAGAGAAGGAGAAGCAGGCTCCCCGACGAGCAGAGAGCCCGTTGCGGGGCCTGATCCCAGCACCCTGGGATCATGACCTGGGCCGAAGGCAGAGGCCTTAACCCACTGAGCCACCCAGGTGCCTCTACCACAAACATTCTTAACAGTTATACAGTACAGGGCTCCTGGGTGGCTCAGTTGGTTGGGCGACTGCCTTTGGCTCAGGTCATGATCCTGGAGTCCCGAGATCCAGTCCCACGTCAGGCTCCCTTGCTCAGGAGGGAGTGTGCTTCTCCCGCTGACCACTCCTCTCTTTCTCTCTCTCTCTCTCTCTCTCAAATAAATAAATAAATAAGTAAATAAAATCTTAAAGAAAAAAAGTTTATACAGTACATACACATTTTGCAAAATCTATGTGTACACACTTTTACACTTTATCCTGTTTTGTTTTGTTTTTTTCCCAAATTTCAGTTGTTGCTTAGTATTTCATTCTGTTAGTGTCATTGTCACCAGTGTTCCATGTTTTCTTGTTGTTATAAATATCACTGGGTATGTTGTGGGAGCCAAAGGTGGAATATTGTTCAGGAACAGGGGCCCTTTCTGTGGTGCTCATGGAATCTCACCAAGGGGAGCAAGGGCAGCCCTCACCAGGGTCTGGAGGACTGTCCTGGTTGCTGCGATTCCTCTTGCTAATCTTGGGTACTAACTGAAGTGCTAGCTCTGGGGAGGTGGGTTTTTTTTTGTTTTTTAAATTTTATTTTTTTAATCATTGAACCTTGGACTCTGCTTCTGTGTATACTGCTTCTGCAGTGCTTCCTGCTGAGTCTGCAGACAATAGACCAGAGACCCAGAACTTCTAGCCCTACTCATGGAAACTCAGGCTGATTGTGTATCTCAGGAACCGCAGGCCCTGCTTGAGAGTGGTAAGAAACAGATTCATTTATTTTTGTATTCAGCCATTCAGCAGTCACGCTGCCCATCTTGCTCACCAGGAACCTTGCTAACCCCTGGAATCCAGGTGTGGCTAAGACACAGTCCTTCCCAGCTTACAGCCTAGTGGGAAAGCTGACTGAGGCCAACAACGGATGTATGGCTTGGTGGACTTTACAGCCGAGGCATTTGTGAAGGGCTCTTGGGACCTCAGGCAGGATTAAGAAAACCGCGACGCAGTCACAATTCCAGGCGCGTGGCAGCAACTGACCCGTAGTCCTACTTTGTGTTCTCTAGGAGCAGGCACTTACCAGAGGCTCTTGGGAAATCACTTTGTAGGTCACAGGCATGAGGATGAAATGAGCATTCGTATTCTGCTGTCGTGGCCTGTGCCATTGACTTTGGAGCCAATTGCCATCGAAAGGGTATACTAATCAGGAGAAAGCATTTAAGGATCTCTTTGTCCTGTTGATTATACACAGTCTTGTGTCTCTAGGGGTTTAGAGTCTCTCAGGGACAAATATGTTAATTTAAGAATTATAGAAGAAGGGATGTGATCAAGCCCAGAAACAGGAAACATTTGTAGTGTTTAGATTTGACCTGGGGGTAAAGAGAAAGAAGAATGGGCATTGTGGTGTTCAGTTGGGGTTGGGTGAGGCTGCTGGTTTCCTCTGGTCTAAGAGACTTTTGTGCACAAGTTCGAGTTCAGAGATGCGGAGAGGGGTGGAAGGGACGTGAGCAGGATTGTCTGCGTTGCTGGCCAAGCTTGGGAGAAAGGACAAGAAGGTGCTTCTCACTAGCGGGTGGACTGGGCCGGTTTCTGGGAGAGTGCAGTGACCGGACAGAAAGGAAGGGACCTGGGTTAGATGAGAGCAGGATCCACAGAGCTTTGGACACCTCACCTCCCAAGGGAGTGGGTCCTGGGTTGTCCTAGGACCCTGTGACATCTCTGTGGGTTGGGAGGCCACAGAGCAGATGGGTTCACTCGTGGACCCTTTTCTCGCCCTTCAGCTCTTCCTTCCTCGAAAGTTCCTGCATTTTCCAACAAGGACAGCCTGGGGGATGAGATGTTGGCAGCTGCACTCCTAAAGGCCAAGTCCCAGGTAAGCTGTGGTTCCCTTTATCCTTCTTTTCCTTCCGTCTTTGTGGAAACATTTGTGCCGTTGCATCCACTCTGTGCCCCAAACCGTGATTCCCTCCGTCAGGAACATGGTCCTTTCTGCTGAATAATGGACCCCTCTTCTTCCGCCGTAACCTGCTTTCCCCTCCCTCTTAGATACTCATGATTCATCCTCATCCCCAGTCATTTTTGGTGCTGCTGGTCCCGTCCCTTACCTTGAAATTGCATGCAAGACCATGTTGTTTCAGGAGTTGGTGACGTTTGAGGACGTCGCTGTGTACTTCATCCGGAAGGAGTGGAAGCGTTTGGAGCCTGCTCAGAGGGACCTCTATAGGGATGTGATGCTGGAGAATTACGGGAATGTGTTCTCGCTGGGTAAGGAGTTAACACTTTCTCGGTCAAACTCCCTTGGCATTTCTTTGTTTCCTTGTGGGCTAGGGACACTTGGGTCACAAAATGATCAGCCGAGGATTGACATAGTCTCAGAAAATTCTGACGACAATACTAATAGTAACTCCTGCTTGTAGAGTAATTGGCAGTTTGTAAAGAGCTTTCCTGTACATTGTCTTGTGGAAACCTCCCAGTAACACAGTAATGGAGGTCGCTAGTATTCTGCTTGTGTTCGGGGTGAGGAAAGAGAAGTCAGAGGTCCTCAGTGCTGCACGGGTGGTGCTAGCGAGTAGCAGGACTTGAGCCCTGGTGTTCCAGCTCCAAATCTGCTGCTTTTTTGCCATGTAATTTCTTCATGTATAATAATTCAGAGCCTTTTCCAAAAGATGAGCATCTCAGGATCCCTGAACATGTGTGGTGCTGCTCTGTGTCCACGTGTGCATTCTGGAACTCCTCCTTCCCTTCTCCGTTGTACCACCTCGAGGAATCTGTTGCTTTGTTCAGAACCAGTGCGGCTACGGCTCCTGGAGAAGTTTCTCCGCTTGTTTCAGGGAGCAGCTGGCGTCTTTAACCTTAGTCTGTGGACTGTTAATTCCTTGTCCGTCACACACCGCAGCGAGAACATTGTCTGGGCGGTCCAGGGGGTCTCCATCACTCCCACTGGAGACTGCCTGCCCGTTTCCGTGTTGGCCCCTGAAATCCAGGGTGCAAAATCCAGCTCTGGAACCACTTGGTATGAGCAGGACTTGTCCCATGGGGAGGATTTCCATTTCTGAATTTTGACACAATCTTTGGGCTGACCTGAGAGGAAGAGCTGGGGGTCCTGGGTTTGAAGGGAGCTGAGAACAGCAGGGTCCCAAGGGACGCCTGTTTAGGTGAGAGAGAAACAGCTGTTTCTGTTCTCTGACGCCCATTGCCCTGTCTTTACTTCTTCAAATATTGACAGACTGAAAATACTAACTGTCTAGACCCTTTTCATCATCCTCTCTGCTCAGAGCTCCCTTTGAAAAAAGCAGTGAAAATAGGGAAGTCAGACAAGAAGACAGTTTATGGATCCTCACATCTTAGCCCAGCCTTTGAGGCCTCGGGCCCAGAGGCAGACTGAGCTCTGTCTTTTGCCCGTTTCCATGGGTTTGGAGTGTGTGGCCTGTTGGATATGGTTCTTTTCACCTGGGGCTGTGGCAGTCTCTGTGGCCTCCCCTTTGTCGCTTCTTCCTGCTCCGTGACTATTTTCTATCACTCTTCTGCGCTCGCTTGCTTATGTTTCTTCTCCCCTATCTTCTGGAAGCCACCATCTCCCCACTTGCATTTCCAGCATCTGACCTCCGTGAGGAGTTTGCCACTTCGTTAAATAGCATGTCCGTTCTCTTCTGTTTCTGGTTCCCGCCCCTACCGGGTCTGTCTTCCTCTCCTCCCATCTCCAGCCTTCTCTCTGCTTCCAGCTCTTTCCACTTTGATTTTGCTTCTTGCCTTTCTCCTTCCTGATTTCCTCGATGCTGATCTCTCTGTGTGCTCAGCTAGCCCCAGCCCGGGCAGGTCTGCACGCAGATGAGAGGCGTGTGCTTTTAGCCCTGTAAAACACCCTTGTCGTCATTATCCTGCCCACTGGTCTCGATCCTTTCTTTCGTAAGGACCGAGTGATGTTTGTATTTTGTATTGTGCCAGATGGTGAGACCAGAACTGAGCACGATCAAGAAATTTCCGAAGATACAGGATCACATAGGGTGCTGTTGGGAAGATTCCAAAAGGATATTTCTCAGGGTCTTAAATTCGAAGAAGCCTATGACCAAGAAGTTGGTCTTAAGAGGCAACTGGGGAGCTCCTCTGGAGAAAGACTGACCAGGAAGATAGAAGATTTCGGTCAAGTGACGGGTGAGGAAAAGCTAACTCCTGTGGGAGAGAGAAGTGAGAAATACAATGATTTTGGGAACAGCCTCGCTGTGAGTTCTAACCTTATTTCACATCAGAGACTTCCTGTGGGAGACAGACCCCATAAGTGCGATGAATGTAGCAAGAGCTTTAATCGAACTTCAGACCTCATTCAGCATCAGAGAATCCACACTGGAGAGAAGCCCTACGAATGTAGTGAGTGCGGGAAGGCCTTCAGCCAGAGCTCGCACCTCATTCAGCATCAGAGAATCCACACCGGAGAGAAGCCGTACGAATGTCACGATTGTGGGAAGACCTTCAGCTGCAGCTCTGCCCTCATCCTCCATCGAAGGATCCACACCGGGGAGAAGCCCTACGAGTGTAGCGAATGTGGGAAGACCTTTAGCTGGAGCTCTACCCTCACTCATCACCAGAGAATCCACACTGGAGAGAAGCCGTACGCCTGTAATGAATGTGGGAAGGCCTTCAGTAGGAGCTCTACCCTCATCCATCACCAGAGAATCCACACTGGAGAGAAGCCCTATGAATGTAACGAGTGCGGGAAGGCCTTCAGCCAGAGCTCGCACCTCTATCAGCACCAGAGAATCCACACCGGAGAGAAGCCCTATGAATGTATGGAATGCGGAGGAAAGTTTACCTACAGTTCAGGCCTTATTCAGCATCAAAGAATCCACACGGGGGAGAATCCCTACGAATGTAGTGAGTGTGGGAAAGCCTTTCGATACAGCTCAGCTCTGGTCCGCCATCAGAGAATTCACACCGGAGAGAAGCCTTTGAATGTAATGGGAATGAGCAAAAGTTCTCTCAGAGTCGCTGCCCAGCTCAATATCGAAGAGTCTACCTGAGAGAGAGCCGCACGCCTGTTTTCCTCACTTCCTCTGAGTCTGACGAGCTCCTGCCTTACTACTTAAGTATGAACATCTTAGAACGTGTCCCTTCCGGCTCAAACCTTTCGCTTTAGAGAACGGGGCACATGGGGGAGATCATCCCGGCACACCCTCGTGACGAGCTACCTGGTCGCTTTCCCCGAGGAGTGACACCCAGAGGCGAGCAGCAGGTTGAGTGCTGGGCACGCCAGGGAAGCTCTGGGACCGGTCACCTTCCATTTTGGAAGGGAGTTTGCACTAGCCCGTTTCTCTCACACCAGAGGAGCCTTTCCTTCCAAGGTGGGGAGTGGAAGCACAGTAGGAAGAAATTCCAAGGACTCCTCTGGTTGGAGTCTGTGTAGTCGGCACCGAAGGCAGTGGAAAGAATGTTCCGGGTCCTGCTGTTTGCTAACAAGGGGACACAGAGGCTGTATTTCAAAGCCACTGTCCCTAATCCAGCTTTAGGTTCTGGTAAGGAACCTTTGCTATTTGTTGTTACTATTTTTGTTCCATGATTTCGGCAATTAATGGAAATTTGGTGCTGAGGGATTTGTTATTTTATTGGGGGGGGGGTTCCGTGAGGTTTTCTGTGATAACTGTATTTTGGGGAGCTCTTGGAGCAGCAGGCCCGTTTCCAAGAGCAGTGAGGCGATTTTGTTGGAGAGCTCCTTGTCCTTCTCTACTGTGATGGGTCTGATTGGGAAATCCATCTGATGAAGAAAGTCTCACAGGGAGAGGATTGAAAGCATTAAGTGTTGGCCTGCTTCTGTTCTCCTCTCTCCCTGTTCCTCTCCCCGCTCCTATGCTGAAAAGTGATGTAATCCAAACCCCCAGTTGCTAAGACTAGAATGCTTTTAAGGAGCCCACTCAGCCAGCTTGCCCTGCCCTCTGTCACCTATGACCTATGACATCTGGCCCCAGCAGCCGGACCTCCCGTGACCCCATCTCCTGTCACCCCATCTCTGACTTCGGCAGCAAAGGAAGCGCAAAGCCCAGCGAAGGGGAGTCTCTGGCCTGACCTGGCCACCAGGCTCCTTGCTGGGTTAGGCTGGAGCTCCCGAGTGTGCCCAGCTGAAGGGATGATCTTTCGTTCTGTTTTCCCAATCCTGCTCATCCTGTAGCATAAATGAAGTGCACTATTAAACAGAATAGTTTTTTAGAAGGAGAGATTGAGTGTGTTTTTGTGCAGGAGCCAAATTTATCTGAATTAAAATAGGAAATCGTGAGTATAACTGGAATCTTTAAAATTTACTCTTAAGATTTTTTTTTTTTTACAACTGTTTTTCTTTCACACACATATGACCTCTGGCTGTCAAGACTCCTGTCCTGTTCCTCCAGATACTGCCACAGACTCAGTCACGCACACATTTGCTCCCTCCTCGTACCCACACGTCGGATTTCGTGTGTGGCCTGTCATTCTGTGTGGTACGATACTTGGGACCAGCAACCCAAACTAGAAAGGCGTTACTGGGTTGGGGGGGGCCCTGACCAGCGTGTACTTGGGGTTTGGGTCGCAGGGGGCATAGGTAGATTTCTTGTTCCAGCTGTGGGCGAGAGGAAGTCATTTATGGAGAAGGCGGAGAGGAAAGTGTTACGGAGAAGTTGGGGAACTGTCTGGAACTGCCGTCTGAAGATCTTGGAGCATATATTGTGATCGACCTCCCAATATGTTTTTGATTTCTTAAAGCTGTGATGAAACTCCTCACTCTTTTGGCTCTTCTTTGAGATTTGGCCATGGACTATCCCTATTTACAATCACTAGGGCTGCTTGTGAGTCATGCAGGTTTCTGAACCCCCAGATCAGACCTGTCAGCTAATTTCTGAGGTTAGAGCCTAGAAACGTCCACTGAAAAGGAAGAACCAGTAATGGAACAGAGAATATTTCTGGAAGGAGATGAGCAAGGTCTTGTAAAACATTGTGTGTTTTAGAGGAGAAGAGGCTCCGGGCAGGACCGTTTGGGGAGGTGGGTGCTGAGCATGGCCACTCCCGTGGAGATTGAGATAGTGGAGGTCTGGGAAAGATCCCCGCACAGGTCAAACTGCTAGGCCATGAATAGTTAGCATAGACGAGGGACCAGCCACTTCTCTGCCCGCACGCTGGTTCCCTCCCCGCCCCTACTCCCGACTCCTTCAGAGCTCTCCTTGAGACCTGGGAATGATCTCAACCATTGTATGAAAATTGTATTTATTTTTTACATCTCTTTGAAGCTGCCATAGCATTTTATTCATCTGGTTTTCCTGATTATTCCTGTTTCCCATCATGATTCTTTTTCTCTGTCCCTGAGTATTTTTTTTTCTTTTTTTTATTCCCTGAGTATTTCTTAATGCTGGGTTATGATGCCCGTTTGTCTCTTCCTTTACTGTTACTCTTGGAACCACTTACTCCTGTGGTCTCAACTCCTATTTGTACAAATAAGTTTTAAATCTGTCCCTGTGCTCCTAACCTCTCCCAGATTCCAGGCTTTGGTCTCCGGCAGACTGCTGGGCATTCGTACTTGGACCTCCAAAAGTTTCAGGTTCAGGTGTTTCAAACCAGGTACATCTTTCCCATAAACTGCCCCCTCTCAGAATTGCTGTAAACTCCGGGTCAGACGGCCCGAATTTTCTTTGGTTACTGTCATCCTGCAGCTGACCGGCGTCAAGTCCTGGGCAGGCACGGTGGGCCTGGAGTGGAAAGAGATTATTGTCGCAGGGGAGGGTTTCATCAGAGTTGAGGTCCTGTGGGAGGTGGGATTTCCAAGTGGTGGTAGCAATAGTAGCCGACACATGGCATGTCCCCTGCCTGGCACTCTTCCAAGTGGTTTTCCGATGTTAAATCATGTAATCCTCACAACCCTGTGTGAGGTACCCCATCTTACAGACAAGGAAACCATTGAACTTGCCAGATGAGACATGACCGTGAGCTCAGAGAATGGAAGACCCTGCGTTGCTCTAGTTGGCGGGAGGCTGCACTCCTGGCCCGGACAGCTCCCGTGTGAGGTGGGGAGGCGTGTGTAGAGAGAGCCTCACCCAGGCGATCTCCTTGCCTTGTCCCTTACGATTCTACAACCTCTGGTGTTCTTGCTTCCATTGCTGCTAAGCCTAGAGTACAGGCCCTTATTTCTTCTCCCCAGGGTTATATAAATAGTTTCCTCATGGATTGTTCTCTTTATTTTCTCTCCTTCTCCCCAGAGCACTGTACCCATCTTGTCACTCCTTCAGTGGCTTCTGCCTTAAAGAATAAAATTCGAACTCCTGAGTCGTATAGTGAAGGCCCACCCCTCCTTGTCCACCCAACAAACCCCTTTGCACCCCTGTGCACCTTTGCAAACCTCAAGAGCTTCACCTTTTCTGTGGAGCTTTTCCAGGAATTGTGCCCATCCCTCCCCCCACCCTCCACCCCTCAAGTTCATTTCCCATGAGCCACCTCTGCATCTTGTTGTGTACTCTTGTGCTTGTTGTTGGTTCATGTATCTGACTCCCTCACTGTGGTGTTTTCCCCTACATTTTCACACTTTCCTACCACAAATAAGCATTGTTTTCTTAATCAGAAAATAGTAAATATTGGGGTGCCTGGGTGGCTCAGTGGGTTAAACCTCTGCCTTCGGCTCAGGTCATGATCCCAGGGTCCTGGGATCCAGCCCCGCATCGGGCTCTCTGCTCAGCACGGAGCCTGCTTCCCCCCCGTCCCCAGCCTCTCTGCCTACTTGTGATCTCTGTCAAAAAAATAAAAATAAAGTCTTAAAAATGAAAAAAATATATATTAAGAAAGTGAAAATAAGGGCACCTAGGTGGCTCAGTTGGTTGAGTGACGACTCTTGATTTCAGGTCAGGTCAGGTCTCAGGATCATTAGTTCAAGCCCCCTGAAGGGCTCCATGCTCAGTGGGACGTCTGCTGGGATTCTCTCTTCCTCTCCCTGGGCCCCTCCCCCCAAAAAAATAAATAAATCTTAAAAAAAAAAGTAGGAAGAGATAACATCCATTGAGCACTTACTATGTGTCAGGCATTGTTCTAAGTACTTTATATGTCACTTAATTCAGTCCTAATCACAATTCTGTGATAGTAGTTACTATTCTTGTCCCCATCTCTATTCCCTTTCCTCAGGAAAGAAGGAAGGAAGGAGGGACAGCGGGGAGCCCCCCAGGCGCACAGCAAATGGTGCCGTGAGGCACAAAGGCGTTTGGAGCCCCCAGCCCCGGCTTCATCTCCTTACTCTCCCCAGCAACGTGAGGAGGAACTGCTGGCTGCCTTCCAGGACGAGCGAGGGCACTGCGATCTAGGAAGGGCTCTGCGTTCTGAAAGTCAGATCATCAGATGTGAGGGGCTCTTCTCCTACAAAATCGTGGATCCTTGATCCACTTGAAATCCTGACAGAAAATCTGGCTGCCTTAAAAAAAAAAAACAAAACGGAAAATTTGGCTGCCTTTAATACACACAAGGGTAGCTGATGGCATGAATCTTTTCATGTCAAGCCGCGTCTGACCCTCATAAGCAGCCTCTCCTGAGCAGCAGCACGAAGGGCGCCCGGGGGACTCTTGGCTTTAGCCACCAGCTTTTGATTTCGGCTCAGCTCATCATCTCAGCGTCCTGCACTGGGCTCTACCCTCGGCCTGGAGTCTGCGTGAGATTATCTCCCTCTGCTCCTCTCCCTGCTCAGGCTCACTCTCTCAAATAAATAAAATCTTAAAAAAAAAGAAAGAAAAGCAGGCTGTGTAGACATTCAGGGGCCAGGGTTCACCTCAGTGTGGATCCCTGCTGCTCCACCAAGGCTCACCCCTTGGCAAAGGCTCTGTGTGCTTGCTGGCTTGGGTTTATTTGTGTGTGGTTGTGTGTTTATTTACTTTTATTTTTATTATTTTTTTAAAGACTTATTTATTTATTTGACATCAAGCACAAGCAGAGGGAACAGCAGGCAGAGGGAGAAACGGGACTCCACCCCAGGACCCCAGGATCATGACCCGAACTGAAGGCACTTAAACCGCTGAGCCACCCAGACACCCCTGTGCTTGTGTTTTTAAATACCCACTGTATTACCACCCATTCACTGCACAGTTTACCCATTGGAAGTGTATAGTTCGGTGGTTTTTAGTATTCAGAGCTCTCCAGGATCACCAGAATCAATCTGAGAACATTTTCATCACCCCAAAAAGAGACTCCATACCCTTTGGCTGTCACTCCCGCCCCCCCCCCCCACCAATTCCCTCAGCCCCTGGCAACTACCCATCCACTGTCTGTCTCTCTGGATTTGTCTATTCTGGACCTCTCCCGTGAATGGGATCGCCATGGCACAATAGGAGGCCTGTTGTGTCTGGCTTCTTTGGCTTCTCATGACGATGTCAAGCTTCATTCGTGTGTGTTGCCACGTGAATCTACACTTCATCCTTGTTAACGGCTGAACAACCCTCCATTGTATGCATTTGCCAGTCTGTTCATTCTCTCCTCCGCTGGGGGGCATTTGGGGCTGTTGCCACGTTTGGGCCATTAAGAATGATGTGCGATGAACGTCATGTACCGGTTTTTGTCCGGATGTGTGTTTTCATTTCTCTTGGGTATATAGACTCAGGATAGGAATTTCTGGGTCAAATGCTTTATGTAACCTTTTGAGAGAATGCCAGACACTCTTCCCAAGTGGTTGTCCCATGTTACATGCCCACCAGCAGTTACAGGCTTCTGATTTTTCTGTATCCTCCACGGCCCTTGCCACTATCCTTATTATAGCAGTTCTACTTGGGCATGAAGTGCTCTCATTCTGGTTTGATTTGCATTTCTCTGACGGCTAGCGATGGTGAGCATCTTTCCCCTTGCTTATAGTCCATTTGTGTATCTTTTTTCCCCCCTGGATTTTATTTATACGAAAGAGAGCCCCACCTGTATGCGGGCAAGCAGCAGATGGAGAGGAAGAAGCAGACTCCCTTCTGAGTGGGGAGCCTGACGCAGGGCTAGATCCCAGAACCCTGAGATCCTGAGCTGAGCCAAGGGCAGCTGCTGAACCAACCTAGCCACCCAGGTGACCCCCATTTGTGTTCTTTTTTTTTGGATAAATGTCTATTCAGACCCTCTGCCTGTCTTTTAATTGGTTGGGTTTTTATTATTGAGTTGTAGGATACAGTTTAGGTGCAAGCCTTATCAGATATGCCTGATTTACAAAAATTTTCTACCATTCTATAGGTTCTCCTTTGACTTTTTTTAAAAAGATTTTATTTATTTATTTGACAGAGAGATCACAAGTCTGTGGGGTGGGGGGGAAGCAGGCTCCCCGCTGAGCAGAGAGCCCGATGCGGGGCTCCATCCCAGGACCCTGAGATCATGACCTGAGCCAAAGGCAGAGGCTTAACTCACTGAGCCACCCAGGCGCCCCGCCTTTGACTTTCTTAATGGTGTCATTTGAAGCCAGAAGTTTGTAATTTTGGTGGTGTCCAGTTTGTCCATTTATCTTTTGGTTCCTTATGCTTTGGGTGTCAGTAGTTAGGGTTCTCCAGAAAAGCAGAAACGATAGGATATAGAGTGATACAGAAGAGGGGACTTATCATGGGAATTAGCTCCTGCGCCATGATATCCCACTTACAAGCTCTAGAACCAGGAAGGCTCATGGTGTAATTCAGTCTGAGTCCAAAGGGCCGGTGTAACTCCCAGAGTCTGAAGGCCTGAGAAGCCAGGACAACCCCGATGCCAGAGGGCGGAGGATGGATGAGATGGAGGGAGGGAAGAGAGGGAGAGAGGCAATGCACCTGTTCTCTGCTTTTTTGTTCTGTTGAGGCCCTCAGCCCAGAAGCTGATGCCTGCTCACACTGGCTCACAGATGCACCCAGGAACAATGTCTTACCAGCTCTCTGGGCATCCCGTAGCCCAGTCACACTGCCACATAAAATTATCCCTCCCCGTGTACCAAGAAACCGTAGCTGGTGGGAATAGAAAATGGTACAGCCGTTCTGGAAAAGTTGGCTGTTCTGCA